TTTGTTTGAGCGAAAAAAAGTTCATCCATGCCATTATTTATTAACTGAAATGACTTAGATGAGCTATATTTAAAAAATATGAAATTCTCAAATCTAAGTATTTTTGAAAATTTTAAAATTTCATCTCATAAAAATCATATGTTGAAATACTAATGGGTAAAACTAACCAAAATGGACTACACTTTTTTCCATTTTTTTTTTCTTTTTGTGAAGACCCCAACAGTGGAAAAATTGCATTTGTGGTGTGTTTATATTTATAGTATTTTATAACCAAGAAAAGTCAAATACTCAATACCCTTCTTTCTCTTTCTCTTCTTTGATCAAAATTTCAGGTAATTTCTCTGTTCTTAATTTCTTCACTTTTTGTTTTTTTGTGTGTTGAACATAACGTTATCTTTTTTTTTGGATTGATAATCAATTGAGTTCTGGTGATGTAGTTTAAACATTAATTAATTTTCATTTTTTCTGGTTTTTAGTCTTATAGGTTCTTTGTTCTTTCGATTTTTTGTTACTATCTATTGTCTCGTGTAATTCTTTTATCGTATTATTCTGTTATAGTTACTATTCCTTTATTTAGTATGCTTTGTAATGAGTTGTGTAGTATTTTGTATTGGCTTCTTCACTCTTGTTATTTTACTGAGCTAGAAAAAACTTCTCTACTTCCTAAGAAAGTAGGGTAAGGTTTGCGTACACACTATTAACTTCCTCAGATTCTACTCGTGAAATTATACTGAGTATGTTGTTGTTGTTGTTTCCGGGGTTTAAGCTCCGGGTATTGTATTATTAGCATGTTGATCTGAAAAATTCTTCTTTTATTGATAGCTTTATGGTTGAAAAGGATTTTATTTGGAGATGACATTTTGGGGGTTTTGAATACTTGATTCTCGCAGATTTAGTTGAAAATTGATATAATGGGGCAATATCATGAAGCAGGATCTGCAATTAAATTAGAGGATGAAGATTGCTCATTTTTCCCTGATCCGAATCTGATTAATAATCTCAGAGTTAATGACTACTTTCATGAGGATTATGATCCGAATTTGATTAATAATCTCAGAGTTAGTGATAATTTAGTCAACAGGAATGTTGATATTAGTAGTCCATTTCAATCTGATTTCGGACGAAATACTTTAGTCCCATCAACTGCAGATGAATTTCATGAGGATTATGATTTCAGTGATGGGGTTCTTAAGTATATAAATCAGATGCTTATGGAAGAGGATATTGAAGAAAAGACTTGCATGTTTCAAGAATCTGCAGCTCTTCAAGCTGCAGAAAGATCGTTTTACGAAGTTATTGGAGAGAAGTACCCTTCTTCCGCGAATTGTGAGAAGCCATCCAGTTTAAGTCAAAATGAACGTTATGCTATGGACCACTATAGTGGAAATAGTGGTCGTGACGGCTTACTATGCCCAAATTGGATTCTTGATCTTGGTGAGGATGATGTGTCACATGTTCCCGATGGTGTTGCTTTGCATTCAACTTCTCGGTCATCCAACAGTTTGTCAGGCACTGTCCCGGATGTGCCTGTGGATTCTCCTGTGAGCACACTTAGGATTCCTGACATATTTAGTGACGGAGAGTCTGTTATGCAGTTTAAGAAAGGGGTGGAGGAGGCAAGTAAGTTCCTTCCTACGGGCAATAGCTTGTTTGCTGATGTGAGGTATAATGTAGAGGGAAAGGAGCTGCAGTATAAAGAGAGAAAAGATTCAGTAGTAAAGGTTGACAAGTATGGGGAAAAGCAATATACTGAAAGGTCGAGAGGGAAGAAAAACACCCTTCATGAAGGTATAGTAGATTTACCAGAAGGGAGAAATTACAAGCAGTCTGCAGTGTTTTCTGAATCAACTGTTCGATCGGAAATGTTTGATAGGGTGCTGCTATGCAGCGCAGGGAAAAATGAATCTGCTCTTCGTGAAGCCTTCCAGGCAATATCAAGGCAAAATGCATCAAAGAATGGCCCTTCAAAGGGATCTAACGGTAAGAAGTTACAAGGAAAGAAAAAAGGGGGTAAAAGAGATGTAGTAGACTTGAGAACACTCTTGACACTTTGTGCACAAGCTGTTGCTGTAGGTAATCAACGGACCGCAAATGAGCTTCTGAAGCAGATCAGGGAAAGTTCTTCTCCTATGGGGGATGGAATGCAGAGGTTGGCCCATTATTTTGCTGACGGTCTTGAGGCACGGATGGCTGGTTCCGGTACTCATATTTATAGAGCCCTTATTACACGACCTGTATCAGCAACTGATGTCTTGAAAGCGTACCACCTACTGCTTGCTGCCTGCCCGTTCAGGACTATCTCTAGCTTTTTCTCAAATAAGACAATTATGAATCTAGCTGAAAAGGCTTCAACAGTACATATTATAGATATTGGCATTATGTGGGGTTTCCAATGGCCTGGCCTCATACAACGTCTCGCTTCTAGACCAGGTGGACCTCCCAAGCTTCGTATAACTGGGATTGATTTTCCAAATCCTGGTTTCCGACCAGCAGAAAGGGTTGAGGAAACAGGGAAGCGGTTAGCTAATTACGCTGAGAGCTTCAAAGTTCCTTTTGAGTTCAATGCTATAGCACAAAAGTGGGAAACAGTTAAACTCAAGGATCTTAAGATCAATAAGGGTGAGGTTCTTGTGGTAAACTGTCTGTACCGTTTTAGGAATCTACTTGATGAGACTGTGGTGATCAATAGTCCAAGAGATGTTTTTCTGAATCTTATCAGGAGGTTGAATCCAGATGTTTTCATACAGGGGATTGTAAATGGTGGTTATAATGTCCCATTCTTTATCTCACGATTCCGCGAGGCTCTTTTTCACTACTCATCCTTGTTTGATATGCTTGAAACTATTATTCCCCGGGAAGTTCACGAGAGAATGCTGGTTGAAAAGAATATACTTGGTCAGGAGGCAATGAATGCCATCGCGTGTGAAGGTGCTGAGAGAATTGAGAGACCAGAAACATACAAGCAATGGCAAGTCAGAATTCTGAAGGCTGGTTTTCGGCAGCTTCCTTTAGATGAGGAGATCATGAGAATGACAACAGAACGATTCAAGGTGTATGACAAGAATTTCATTATTGACGATGATAGTGAATGGCTACTGCAGGGATGGAAGGGTCGTATCGCATTTGCACTTTCAACATGGAAGGCAGCTTATTGAAGGAGCACATTCAGCAGCCATGATACCCCTCTGCCCCTTGTAAACAACGAGCTCATGAACGGTACTCACTTTACCAAGTGCTAGTTATTAATTTGGTCATTTCTCTAGTGTTAATTCAACAAGCACAAATGTGAATTGCTATGTTCATAACACTGATTTGCTTATGGAGCAGTGGAAGCAGAACTTCATTTGCTGTCTTCCTCCCCTAACGCGTTGAACTGTGGCATCAACAACAGGAGAGAGGAATGACAAAACAATTTTTGAGCAGCATTTGTGTCTGGTACTACTCGTTTTTCTAGAACATAACATTATAAAGTATTGAGCAAATAGGCGATGTGTATTGCAATTGGTTTCTCTTCGTTTATGTTTCTCCAAATAATTCCAGTATGTTATAGGCCGGTATCTCTCTACTAATAAAGGTGAGTTCCGGCATGCTTATTCTTCATTGGCTTCTTCTTATCAATCATGAGTAGCATTTTGATATTGATATTGATGTTTAATATTTGAGCCGGGGGTTTATAGGAACAACCTCTCTACCTTTGAACCGAGGTTTCTATGATGAATTTTTTTGATGACCAATTAATTAAACAAAATTTGTGATGACCAATTACCTGATGTATAGATGATTTTGCTAATGTGAAAGATAAATAGGTAGCTTGCATATTGATCAGCCTTTTAGATTTGGATAATATGTGTAGTACTTTTTTTTTTTTTAATTTACCCACCCCTAGGAGCTCCCATCCCTTTTGCTCCCTTGGTGATTCGAACTCGCAACCTTCGAGTTGGAAGTGAGGGGTGCTTACCATCCGAACAACTCCCTCTCGTCATATGTGTAGTACTTAACTTACTCCTTGTCACAATTCTTTGGTTCATTCTTGGGCTCTTCTTTCACGATAAGCATCTTAATGCACACTCCTTGTCACAATTCTTAAGATCATTCTTGGATTCTTTTTCTAGGGTAAACATATTCTTGATCTCTCATTAAAGCTCAATAGTCTTGTCTTGCATCTCCTTAATTTCCAAAGCTTCTTCCAAGTTCTTTAATGGAAGTAGGACACCACAGATGCTATAAGGTCATTAGACAGGATATGACATATCTTCAGCTTACCGAGGACATGATCCTAAATATGAGAGCATGTAAGTGATTAGACAAGACACGATACTATTACTACTATTATCACATGAGAGCATGTAAATTATTGGACCGGCGATGATACTACTACTCGAATATTTTCTCTCAAATAAGACAAGTCTGCACGTAGCTTTCGATCTCCCCTCTAATTTGTGGCCAATAACTTGCCGACTCCAAAAGTGCTCGCGTGCCTTGTTGGCCCCGGATAACCAGTCCACTTATAACAAATGTCATGACAATTTAACTAAACAACAAATAAAAGTCGATTCGATTACATATTTTATTTTTCAAATTTGATGCCTATTTTTACTTTTACGAAATTATATTAACTATATTGTTCAGTCAAAAATTAATTTCACGTTTTGATTTATATAATATAGTTTGAATTTCAAAAGTACATATTTAAAATTTACATAAAAATACTACATATTATTAAAAAAAAATCAATTCAAATATCTAAACATGCATATAACCTAAATTTACGTCACATAAATTGAATGAGAGAGAGTAATTAAAATGGAATGGATTGAATGGAATTTGGAGGGAGTATCCATTTTCTTTTTTTAAAGTAGATGTTCGTGTTGGAACCATGTACACGTAACAAGGTTAAAAATGTAAATTTGTCAAATGAAATATCGTGCCGACGAATCTCCCTTTTCCCTCAATAAATACCTCGCTCTCACTCACCATTTTCCTCACACAATTGACAATTCTGCTGAACCCCAAAAAAAACTCATTTTCTCATCTGATCAAATATGGCAGGAATCATCCACAAAATTGAGGAGAAACTCCACATCGGAGGAGGCCACAAGGAAGAAGAACACAAAAAGGAGGAACACAAGGGAGAAGGACACAAGAAGGAGGAGCACAAGGAAGGATTTGTTGAGAAGATAAAAGATAAGATCCATGGTGAAGAAAGTGGAGAGCATCACAAAGATGGAAAGGAGAAGAAGAAGAAGAAAGACAAAAAGGAGAAGAAGGAGAAAAAGCATGATGGACATGATAGTAGCAGCAGCAGCGACAGTGATTAGATCTGATCTGCTCGTATCTGAACTGATTGATTTCCTATTTACCTAACAACAACTCATCTATAGTATTTTCTGCTATAGATCTATCTATCTATGTGAGAAAAAGAAAAAAAAAACAGAAAAAATGGAAAAGAAGATCTCGTGTTTATCTGCTTTTGTTGTGATTTGTGAATGTACTCGTCTTTTGGACGGTTTGTGAATGTGGTGATATTATAATAAAACTTGCAGTTCTTAAATAATTTGACTTTGTTTCGAATTATAGTATTTCTCTGCACGTTACCAAAGAAACTGATGTATTGACATCACAGACAAACTGATGTGTTCACGTTGGTCGGAATGACTCAGTTAATTTGGAGGATGATTATCTACACTATAAATCGGAATTGATCCCTCTGTCTTTCGAGTTGAGACTATCGCATAAGATTTGTCTCTAATGCACAATTTTATCATCAACTCTATCAATAATTTGTCTTTTGAGTTGAGACTATTTCAAAAGATTTGTTTAATATCATCAACTCGACCAATAATTTGTATCTGAGCAACTATAACAATTAATTCATTTATATGACACCTTATATCAATCTTCACAATATTGTCAAAGTTTCAAGTTGCCCTATGCCTAAGAAAAACACAATTTTATGTAGAACAAAGGCGTGTAGTAAGAAAAATTAGTACCAGAATCAAATGGAAACTCACTACAAACAAATTCAATTTTTATGTTTGATTGATGAAAAGAATCATCTAGTGTTTTTTGTCTCCATTGAATATTAAACCTGAAACCTAAAGGTTCTCAACCCACGCACTGCAAATTGCAAAATATCTACAAAATGGCTGAAGTTGGAAAGGATTTCAATTGCTCAAGTTAGCAATATAGTATATCTAGTTTTCTTGAGAAAATGATCAAAAATAGTCCTTATTATAAAGGGTTGTTTTCTTTTGGTCCTTAATATATTTGACATGATTGATATAGTCCTTATAAAAGGGGTTCAAGATGATCCTTTGCCCTAAAAGTAACAAATTATCAAAATTTTCTGTTAAGTTTGACCCTAGGTCCCATTAAAAATAAATCCAAAGTCTTTTTCCTTCTTCTTCATTCTCTATGTTTTCCTTCATAAGCTCCGGTTCAAAGAGCTTGTGATTCTTTTTTATTTTTTGCCTCAGCCATCAAAAGAAACTTTCTTCTTCTCTGTGAACAACAAATGTCAAAAAGAAAGGTATTTTTCTCTTCTTAGTTCATCAGTTAAGTCCTAATTTTCAAAACCTTCTCCAATTCAAAGGTGATGAGTGAACTCTAATAGAAGCAATTCTTGAAGCCTTTAGTGTCATTGAGAAAGTTTTTGAATTTAATTTTCGGAGGAAGCCAAGGTTAAACTTAACAGTAAATTTTGATGAATTTGAAACTTTTAGGGCAAAGTATCAACTTGAACACTTTTTATAATACATTAAGGACTATATGGATCATATCAAATATATTAAGGACCAGAATAAAGCAACTTCAATACATTAAGGATCATTTTGATCATTTTCTCTAGTTTTCTTTCTAGCCTATCTTCTAAAAAAAGATGAAAGCAGCCTATATAAACTAATAATTATTTTGGGAAAAGACACAAATATGCTTATTGAACTTCAAAAAAAATGTCCATTTATGTTATCCGTTGAAAGTTTAGTTAATTTATGTCATTTTTGTTTGAGAAAAAGATATGTTATTATTTGTTAACCGTAAACAGTTTCAATTTTGCAAAACCTTTTTTGACATGTGGACAATTATGATTCGATCACGTTATTAATTAATCATTTAAAAAAAAAAAACTCAAATATGTCATCAAACTCTGAGAAAAAACTTATCTATTCATCCATTAAAAGTTTGACTTATCTACGCTATTTTAATTAACCAAAAATGACATGACCGAATTTTTTCTCAAATAAAAATGACATGAGTTACAACTTTTAACTAATGACATAAATGAATTTTTTTCAAAATTTGATGACTTATTTAAGCATTTTCTCTTATTCCAATTTGTATATCATTTAATGTTGTGATTTTAAACATTGTTGGATTAAAAGTTGAATGAAAGAGAGGGAGAATTAACTGAGGATATAGAAAAATTAAGAGAGAATTATGCAAGTCTATTTAGGAAGAATCAAATGATTAATATTACTTCACCATTATAATCTCATATACAAGGAAAAACAAAGAATCAATAGAATAATAGGATCAATTACAAGAATAAAAGCCACCAGATCCAATCTCAATCATCCAAGCAAATAGAAAAAACATACATCTTTAATGCCTTAGTACAGCGAACAGGGACATGAGCAAGGAAGTTCCGATCAAAGCACCGGAAACCGGCAAAGAGAAAGCCGCACCGGCATCAGGCGCCGGAGCCGGAGCTAGACTAGGTTCCTGAGCTGAGACGACGACGGCAGCGAGAAAGACGGCGAGGACAAAAGCCTTGATGATGCTAACAGAAGCCATTGATGAAATAGAAAGGAGAATTTTGATGAATTCGAAGCGAATGATGAGAATTGAAATGGAGGAGGAGAGATTTGTGCAAAATTGATGATGAAAATTGAGTGTAGAAAAGGAATATTTATAGTAAAAGACAACAAAAATGACAGCTGAATTTGTTGAAGAAACAGCTCATGACACGCTATAATGGCTGAACTAGTCATGTTGTTAGGTGGGGTTAAACCAGCAAAGAGACGTTGTAAAAAGATTCCCACCCGTTAATACTTTTGGAAAAGGTACTAATCTTCTTTATAATTGCAGGCATTATACTTGTCAAAGGAGTATTAAATAAAGTATTAATAATTTTTAATTAATTAAAATGTGTTTTTTTAGTTTTTTTTAATTAAAAAGTATGTTGTATTTAAAAACTATTTTTTATAATTGTTCTCGAAAAATAGTGTGTATGTAGATCTTATTCCTATCTAATGATATGAAGATTGTTTCGGATAGAACTTTTGGCTCAAGAAGGGATGACATAGAAGTTGAAGTTGACCTTCACACCCTCCCATAAGGGTACCTAATAAGATGAAGTGGTATGATTTTCGGCTTAATTACTTTTTCTCAATACTTTTTTGGCCTGTCTTTACCTTTTATTTGGTTTGCTATATATGGACAATCTCTGATACGTGCTCACTGGAGTATTCATGCATCCCCTTTGCCATGGTCCGAATTGTCTCAACTTTTCTTCCCTCGTTATATTGATCACAAAAGTCACTCTCACCTTGTCTCAAATATTTTCATTCCTAATGTCCACATACATATTCATCTCAATATTATCATCTCCACTACTACTATTTTCTGGATATGAATGTGCTTAATTAGTTAACACTCTGTCCCTTGCAACATAGTTGACCTAATTATCACTATGTAGAACTTGTCTTTCAGTCTTGATGGCACATCCTTATCATACAAAATAGGGTTGGGCATTCGGTATTTCAGATTTTTTTATTTATTTTTTCAGTTTTTGATTCTTGTACCATGTGTACCGAACACCGAACCGAACCGATTTTTCGGTTCGGTTTTTATTATTCGGTTCGATTTTTTATTAGTTCGGTTTTTTGTTGCAGGAGGGTAGATGAAAAGAGAGTTGGTTTCAGATTCTTCTTCTCTACCTGTTGTACTAAGATGCCGCACTACCTGCTGGAGTGCTGCTGTTGATTGGCTGGCCGCTTCTGCTGGTCGATTGCTAGTCGGTCGGTCGTTGGTCGACGCGACGCCGTCGGAAGTGGAAGTGGGAAAGCGGATCAGTGAAAGCGGCGCTGAAGAAGAATGAAAACTCAAGTTAAAAGTGAAGCGTGGATTATTCAGTGACATAATTCAATTGTGCATATACTAATATTTATTATATAATAATTAATAGATATTGTAATTATAATATAATATATTTCGGTAAATCGAAATACTGAATAATACAAAGTCACATACCGAAATACCAAAAAATATGAAAATTTATACCGAATACCGAACCGAAATACCAAAAAAATTCGATTCAATTCGATATTTCGATATTTATGCCCAGCCCTAATACAAAAAACAAGCCTCTATTTCATCCGCCCATTCCAATACCATACATCATTGTCAATCTCTTTATTATAGATATAAGTTCCTTGAGGGAAAATCACAATTGACATAACTTTTTGTTCAATATGAGCAAACATTATATGCTCTTTAAATAGCATTAAGTGACTATTAAATTTCTTTTGGAATTAGTTAACCTTTTGGCAATTGACCCATATTCTTCATTGTTATTAACCCTATTTATTTCTTGACAATTAGTTGTTGGAGCCAAAAGCTAAACTCATGTTGTGATCTTCATCTATATATATTTGTTAGTCTTCTTCATTTGGGAAGAGGAGATCAAGATAAATTCCTCCTATTTTAGTATGCTTCGTCTCTATTTAATCTTTGTTCGATTCCGGCTTCTAGTTTATATAGAAGAGCTTGTCGAGTTTTGAGGGTTAGGAAATACATTTATACCACATGAAATATTCTTAAGGACACTGTTTTTGCTTTCATGAATTCGCTATAGTGTCTGTCAATCAAGTATTTTACATAAGATTTATGAAAATTTTCTTTTTAAGGCAAAATGGGCTAAAATCCAAAAGGATCCAACATTATCATCATGGGCCCATAGCCCATTACTTAATTGGGCCCACAAAGAAGGAATATGCATCGAATAAAGCCCATTATTCTCATCAACTTGACTAAATTCACATAATCACATTCCCTATAAATAATAAACCATAAAATAATAAAAAATAAAAAATAAGTGGTCCATATTCAAACTAAAAAATTTCTCAGCACTTTCGCGGGAATTTAAAAATTTCAATCCAACAAATCAAAATCAACCACGTGTCTAAACTTTATGCCACGTAAGATAATCAACAATTATAATATATAGCTTCCATCACACGATTAAATATAAGTCAAAATAACAGCTTCCTGAAGAAGTCTGTACTATTATAAAATCTCACACACACATACTCCTTGTTAACTCAATTTTTTCTTGATTCTCACGAGTCTATTTATAATCACGACTGTTATAACTATTTCCAATTTTTGGGAGAGATTGGCGCGTTACGCGATTATGGTGAAGAGTGATTATGAATTGGTGGAAATAGATGAAGGATGCAAGACACCAAGGCATGATAAATATAGGATTATGGTGAATTCTATGTGCCCGCCGCCAACGCCAAGGAAGAAAAGAATTTATGTGAAACAACAAAGTTCTCCACCTAAGGAAGGTTATTTTCACCCTCCTGATCTTGAGATTTTATTCGCTATCGTCCCAAGGAGGGAGACTCGTGTTTAAATATTGTCTATTGAAAATAACCTTTCTAGGATGATAATTTACTCTGTTTGTTTTTTTTAGATGTATCCAAGATTTTGTACAATGTAGAATTGGTTTAGCACTCTGTGAGGGGGGGGGGGGGGATTATTGTTATGTCTAATTGTCTATTATTATATCTATAGTGTGTTTTACTAAGCTTATGTGAAGTTAAAAGTGTTTATTTTAAACTGTTGAAGGTTTTACCTAAGATTATAAGAAAAAATGTATGTTTTTGTGATAGCAAAAACTGTCAAAAGTTAGAAAAAAGAAGTTTTCCTTATAAATGCTCTTAGAACCAACTAATTTTGTTTGTGCAATTATAATATAGTCCAAAGGAAATAAATTTATAAACGATTAGGTCATAGAAGTTGTTCGAATGATAAATATTCTTTGCCTCCAACCCCAAAGTTTATGGGTTCGAGTAAACAAGAAAACAAATCCACAACGAGTCATGAAACAATGGGCCTTAATCCACAAGTCAGTTCATTTTTGGAGTTCTACTTGGACCTTAATTGGACTTTGTTGTATACATAAAAGCCCATTTAAACTAGTTTGTTGCCTGCTCATTTTGCTCAAATAGTTTTTTAAGTGTTCTTTAATTGTTTAGAAATTTGCAGACTTTCTACCGATGTTTCCGTCGGTAATAAGTCTATCGGAAACAGTTTCCAACGAGCACATTTTTCGTAGATTTCGGAGGAAATATACGTATTTCTAGTAGATATGAGATTTATTTGAAATGAATTTGAGTTAATCGGGATCATTGAATTTAGAATAATATATATATATATATATATATATATATATATAATGGAATTAGTATATGAGCATGCTAGTCATCCATATGAAACTCTAAGATTCTCTATAAGAGAAATGAAGAGTTACAGAGCACAAGAGTATTTTGAATATCAAGATGCTCTAAATATCTTAAAAAATTATAGAATTTTTAATGCTTAAAAACAGTATTTCAATTAATAATCCGCAACCCTGTTTAATAATAAGCAGCGCGAAAATAATGGTATCAGAGCCTAGTTGCTAAATAAACATGGTACTAGATAGAAATCTAGTAGTTGCTAAATAAACATGGTACTATATATATATATATATATATATAAAAAAAAAGTAAACACGGACTCAAAAGTTTCTTTAAAGTTTCTAATTAGATGGCTATTGGGAAAAAATTGAATGCTAAGACTAGGAGTGCATTTCTATTGTATATGTTTAAGAAAGATGATATCATGTGGGGGTATATTTGCAATTTTGCATCTATTTTGTATTGGTCTTTAATTTTTGCTCCGAAAAACAAATAACGTTTCATAATATATAAATTTATATTTTCTCATCATAATATCTCACAAGTTTATCCCGCGCTCATAAATGACTTTTGTTCTCTTAGGCATAAGTTTGAGGGATAATTGTACAGAATGACAAACTTATAATCTAAAATAAATGGAGTAGCTACTGTTTGATTTAATTGCGTCCCGTAGCAAACGTTTGTCAGTCGCCTCTCTCCCTCCGAATTCTCGCTCGCCACTCTTCCTTTCTCGATCGCTCCCTCTGTGCTCGCCTCTCTCGCTTTATACAATATAATTGTATAAATTGCGTTTCTGTTTGTATAAAGCGAGAGAAAATTGTATATACACATGCAAATACATATATATTCGTTCTATACACTTATAATTATACAATAAAAATATTCCCCTACCCAGTTCTCTTTTGCCTTTCTCTCTTTCTCGTTTTATACAAACACAGATTATACAATATATTGTAAAATTTATGTTTGTATAAAGCGAAAGAAAATTGTATATACACATGCAAATACATATATATTATACTCTTATAATTATACAATACAAATATTCTCCTGCCCAGTTTTCTTTTGCCTTTCTCTCTTTCTCATTTTATACAAACACAAATTATACAAATATAATGTATAATTTATGTTTATATAAAGTGAAAGAGAGAGCGATTTTTGATATACAAATATTTTTGTCAACGATTTATACAAATGAGAGGCTAACAACAATTTATACAAATGGCCTGTCAGCGAAATTATGCAAATCTGAAGAGGAGCCAATGAATTATATAATTGCTTCTTTTTGTATATATGTATAGCAAAATAGACATAGCTTTTAATTGTATATGTATAGCGAATTATACATATATATGTTTGCTACGGAGCGCAATTATGCAAACTTTGCTATAACATACAAATATGATTTTTTTGTTTGCTATATGTGAAAGTTGCTCAAGGATAAATTGTGCAATTATATGTTGTATAACACTATCATCTCTTTATAAATTTAATGTTTAAATATTTATATTAATAGATTTTTTAATTAAAAAAAATCTCACTAAGGGTTCATTCTATCCCACCCCGTCAGCTTAGTGGGATGAGATGGGCCAACATTTCGTCCCTCTATCTCGTCCCACTAATGTCATGATCTCACCTATCATGTCAAGTCCTTATACTATCATGTCCAGTCTCATCCCACTACAACCCTCTCATGAATATTAACACGACTAGGAATAATATACATATAACGTCCATCCCTTCCCAGCTTAGTGGGATGGGACAGGCCTAGTGTTCATCCCCCTATCCCGTCCCACTAACATTCGGTCTCCCCTATCTTGTTAAGTCCTTATTCCGCCCCATCCCGTTAGACATCGGTAAGTACCCTATCACAAATATTCAAACATGACTAGTAACACATATAAGGTCCATCAAACTTTCCACAAATTAGGCCAATCAAAAAGTAAAATCTCATATAACTTTGACTATCTTTATTTTGATGTATGTAAGATTTATGACATGGACCTAACAACAACTAGTGCAATAGTAAAACCTTTAATGAAATACACTATTTCTCTTCTAGACAAGTCATTTAATGTAGCACGTCCAAACCTTCGACGAATCAAACAACCAAGCCAATGTATACTAGTGTTCCATTTCACATATCTCATAATCACAAACTCGAGGTTTTACGGCTTACTAAAACTAAAACATATGATTAAAAGCTACAATATATTTTAAGCATTAAATAATTTATGTAATGAGCTCTTCAGAATTCACATAAGACATTTTTCGTCACAAAAAAAAGGTTTTGCAAGCTTTATATATAAAGAGCTCAAAATTCTCCTTAATTCAATAACATTGATGTGTATTACCAAATATCCCATCTAAAATTCTTGTCCAAGCTTTATAACAAGATTTTGATATATATTTTTATATGATTGAAAAACCTGATAATTCTTAAAACCAATCGCAATTTATGAAACTTGAAGACAGTGAATTTATCTATTTTATTTTTCTTCACTTAAATATCAAAATTAGTATGCACTTGAAACCTATATAACAAACCCCTCTTTGTCACTTGACCTAAGGCCCTGTTTGGATTGTCTTATTGAACGTATTTTAATCTAAAATATCTTTTAAGCATTTATGAAGTGTTTGAGTAAATTAAAAAAAAAGTGTTTATAAACACTAATTTTTAAGCTAAAAATATAAATACAAGTCAAATGTCATAAATTGAAATTGGCCCGTATTCATAAAATGATCCACAATTGTTAGTTCAATATTCATTAAGAACATCGACAACAATAACATAAACGGTACACAAGTGCCTTAAGCCTCCAAATTTTAAGGGGGCTCATTTTTTAGAATCATAGGCTTATAAGATTTCTTAGTTTAAAAAAGAGATAACTTGTAAGAAAATGCATATGAATTATTAAGTTTTTGTGTGTTTTACATCTCGATTATCACTTATTCCTTTTTATAAAATATTGTTTTCTTGAAAAGACAAAATAAAGGACTTTAATTGAAGTTTGACTTTAGTTAACAAATAGTATTGGGCAGCTATTGATTTTATGCACAATTTTCCTTATCTTGAAATGTAAAAGGGTTGTTTCTAATACTATAAAAACTCATCTCAAGAAAAAGCAATTCAAGTAATTCTCAAGATATAACATAGTTTCTCTATTCATACGAACACAAATAGATTATGTAAATATTTGCTCGAACTCAAGATCTTACTTATCAAATATTATGGTGAAAGATATAATTTTTTTTAATTCACTGTGATATTCCTGATTCATACATAATATCAGAAAAAATGGGATACAAATTTAATGATGATTCTATAGGCTAGGTCAAAATATAATAACAATGAGAACAACAGCAACTTCAAAGTTTTTCTCAAAATCTTTGATGCACAAGAACAAATATTTTACAGGAAAACCCTAAAAATTTAGCAATTCACAACTCTTCATAATTTTCAAATCATGCATTTTAAGCCCTTCTGATAACCACAATTATTACGACAATATAGTCATCCCTAATTGCACTCCATAACTACATAATGTTATTTGGTCATTATAGTTCCTAATGAAAGTCGCGACTTTGTTAAGTTATGGGGTCATTAATTATGAGTTATGACATTTACGAAGGGTGAAACCCTCTATTTTTTTTAAAGAATTGTTTAAAGAGGAAATTCTATTCATGATCTTCAATACACTCTAATTGTCAAAAGAAAATGTTACAAACATTAACTACTTACTTTTTTTAGGTTGTTTTTTTCATATATAAAAGGGAAATTTGAAACTATTTAGCTTCAATCTTTATTTTACCATAAAGACATGCTCTTATATTCATGAAAAAATGTGACCTTTAAGGGATATATATAAGATCATGAGAAAAGCTTAATTCAAAATTTGAAGTACATAAATTTTGAAATTTATTTTTCCATCCATCTCAGTTTATTGGTCCTACTATTTCTTTTAGTCCATCCAAGGAATAATATCTTTTCTTTCTGACGACTCCTTAATTCTAACTTTCTCTGTTTCATTTCTAAGACCACAGATTAAAAGATATTTGAGGACATTCAACACGATCTTAGTTTAAGATCTCAAAATTTAATTATTTTTTTATTTTCTTAACATAGTGACAAAACAAAACCAGACATATAAATTAAAACAAAATATTACAATTTTCCAAACGAAAATGTCTAGGTTCTGTTGAATCAGGATTTATCATATCATATCAAACATCAAAAGTAATTCAGTATTTGATATCTACTTTTAATCAACAAATGGCCAAATTACCAAAAATAAATTTTGAAAATATCGAATCAAATACCGAACATCCACCCTAATGTATAAAATGAAACTAATAAGAGAATATTTGACTGACCTAATGAACTGTAGATGGGACTGCCCCATATGCAAAAAATGTGAAGGTACCATATGCCAAAGGCCCAAAATAAATCATCAACTGTAACAAACAAT